TTATACTTGTTTGTTTTGTCAAGATACTTCGCATGCATAATATGGCCATTTTTGTATAAGGCAACCAAGTGGAGAAACCCTAAGGGTGCTTGTGTGCAAGTGTGTTATTTTCATGCTTTGATTTTGTCTTGGATTTAGGGTTTTCTATTTGATTTGTTTTTATCTTGCCATACAAACCCTAATTACTAGCATGGTATATAAAAAGCGGTAAATTGCGTAAATTAAAGATTACTACGCTATTACAACATTTTTATGGGAGGGGGGAATACAAAGTATGAATGGAGATTTGCAATAATGTAAATCTAATTAAGCTATTACAACCAAATAAAATTTGTATAAATATTTGAATAAATAAGATACAATATAAATTAAATGTGCAATGGTATGTATATGCAAGAAAAAGATTTTGTTTTATTTTTCACGTGGAAAAGAGTTTTGACTTAAATCTAATAAACTTAAGGAAAAGAGATTAATTCTTGAAAACCAAAGTTAACCCTAATTTCTAATTTAAAAGAAAATAAAGTTCTTTAGGTATTATTTTTATATATTTTTTGTATTAAAAATAATAAATCATATTTTATGAAAATATTTAATTTTTATATGTCAGAATAAATATTTACAAGTATGAATAAAAAAAGAAATAAAATAGTTAAACTAAATCTATTATATTTGCAAGTTTATTTAAGAAAGAAATAATTAATATATAGTTTAATAAAAATATTTTTTCATGTGAAAATAAAATAAAATAAACAAAAATGCAAAATCATCATGTTTTATATTTTTTATGATTTTTATGTGTTAAAGAAAATATTTTAATAAAACAAAAATGAAAATAAAATAAATAATAAAAAGATTGGGCCAGGGATGCTGCAAGCAAACAGGGGGTAGTGTGTTAGAAAAAAAAAATAGAAAGCCCAAGAATAAAGCCCATACTGCCAAAAAAATACCAAAGCTGAAGCTGAAAAAATGAGAAAAAAATGTAAAAGGTATCGCCAAGGTTCGAACCCATGACCTGGGCATTGCCAACGCGCTACCTTGCCATTGGGGTGGCTGTACATCCGTTAGCTTATGTGAAACAAGAAAAACATAACATAAAACGCTTTCTTGGCCCTATACTTCGTCTTCTTCCTCTAGCTAGCCGGACCTCCTGTAACTCTTTCATCTCTCAACAAAAATGGAAATTGATAACATGAATGTTATAGTATTTTGTCCCACGATTCTAATCATGTGCATAACTAAAACTATAAGTCCAAGATTAAAGAGAGTTTTAATGGTCCTAATTCTTAACCTAATTTTTACATAAATTTGAACTTCAAAATTCTCTACACATAATGAACAGAAAAGGAATCTATGCACATGGTTAGCTTCAGCACTATAATGTCTACATTTTCCTTTCACAAATCATGGCCAATGGATGCCTGTATAAAGAAATAAAAGTTGGAGTTTTTAACTCTTTTAGTTGAGATCGTGAATGGAGTTTGAGTGAGATTTATGAAGGCCCGAAGGTTCCTTTAACTTGCTTGAACCTCCCTGAGTGTGTTCCAATCCTTGCCTTACTTTGGAAGTGCCTGGAACTCTCTATCCAAGTTAACCTACAAGCTTGGAAAACAAAAATGGCATATGAAGAAGGAGGAGTTACAGTGTAGGGATGATGGTCTGGATCACTTAGATATGAAGTAGGTTAAGTGTTTGGATGATTAAAACTTGAAACACACGAGCCAATTTGTGGATTGCTATGCTTATGCTCAAACTGCAAGTTTTTGACAGATTTTTGGTGAGAGGGTGTTCTAGAGTGTTTTAGGCCTTTTGCAATCGTGTTCTCAACTGTAATATGTTTGTGTATTATTTTGGAAAAGGTTTCAAGTCAGCTCTTCAACAGATTTTTGAGTTGTAGGCTTTTTGCACACTTTCTTGCTTTTGAAGCAAAGTGAAGAGACAAGTCTCCTCATGCTTGTACTGGCCTACTTGGAGTTGGTACAAGCTCTATACAAATTGCTTTAGGTTTGTAGGACTTGTGTGTGCAGAGAAGACAGGTCCAATGCTCAAGAATTGAAAAGTTGCAAAAGTTAAGCTTTTCCAAAATGGCAATGGCAACTTTGTGCCATTTATGGAATTAAAGCTTGGACAAAGACCCTTGGGCTTGGACTATGGCTTTGTCAACTGAGTAAGCATTAAATTATGAAGTGAGAAACAAGTTTGAGACCTTTAAAGCAAGAATTAGGCAGCATAGGTTCAGATTTGAATTTTGTTCTTCATGAAATGGCTTGAATTCAAAATGAGAAATTGCCAACTTCATCTTTTCGATTCTCCCTACTCAAAAATGATCTTAAGGAGTTCTTGGGCATTTTGGAAAGCTTGCAATGTTCTCTATAACTCATCTTTGAAATGAATTTCAATATTCCCCTTGGAACTAGGTAAAAAATTGCCATGAAGTTGGGTCAAAAACCTGCCTAAATTAGGGCAAAATTTCACTAAGTTATTTTAGTTCATGGGCATGTATTCATAAAATTATATCTTGAGATCCAAACATCTTTAAGGAAAAATGTGTGAAGAAAAGTTGTAGATTTCATGGATATCTACAACTTTCATGTTGGGAATTTCCTTTGAATCATCTTGTATCATAGTGAAAAAATGGCTTAAAGTTGAGGAAAAAAAAGAAAATTTCTATACTTAGAAAAGTTTCTAAGTTAAGAAAATTTCAAATTTTAAAACCAAATCTTCAATCCTTGATTCCTTGATGAACAAGTTTCACATTTTGACATGTTTTGATGAATTATGATCCTTGGCACTTGATTTTGACCAAAAAGTCAAAGTTTGACTTTTTAGTATACAATTGACTTTTGATCAGTTGACTGCAAATTTCATCTGTCAACCAAATGAAATTGCAATGTTTTGAACCATGCTATTAGGTCAAGATGATACAAATTAAACCTTTAAATCATGCTTCAAATCAATTGGTCATTTGCTAGGTCAAAAATTAGAAATTACCCTTCCTCAGTTAAAACCCTAATTTTGACTATTTTGCCCTTTTGATGATTTGATCAAATTTCTTGAGGAATTATGATCCAAACTTGATCAAATGATACATATGAGTCTAAAATGTTGACGTGGATCAAAAAATATGAAGTTTGACTGTGAATTGGCCATGGTTGACTTTTTTCCCAATACAACTGATTTTTAGGTCAACTGTCCAATTGACTGATCAAAAATGTGGTTCAAAGCTTGAAACTTGTCATGAGTAATATTAAGGGTCCATAATGATATTTGAAAGTAATATACAGCATTGATAGCCCAAAAATCCTTGGGCAAACTCAAACCCTAATTTTGGGTCATCAGTGTGAGATGAGATGTCTTGAGCTGACCAAACCCTAATCTAGTCTTGAGTCAAAGAGATCTTGTAAGAGAAGTCTTGATAAATGAGAGGGAAAATTTTGGGGTACAACAGCTGCCCCTGTTCAATCTTCTTAAACCTAAAGAGTTAGATTGACGAGTTTTGCCATTCGTGACTCGAAGGTGAGAGAATGATTGGACACTAGAGTGCTCAGAAATTTGCACTCGACGATGTGTAGTTTGAGGGAATGGGCTTAAAGATGCCATTTGGAGAAGTGACCGAATCTTGTTGGAGATGGGCTTGCAGATGCCATCCAAGAATGTTTGTTGAATTGCAAGTTGTAAGCTGAATGAATGAGTATCAGAATTGCGTCCGTGTCTGGAGCGTGTCTGAATTGTATCTGAAAGTTGAATCTGAATGAGTATCAGGATGACATCCGTTCCTAGAGCGTATCTGTATTGTATCTAAACTTGAAATCTGAATGAGTATCAGAATGTCATCCGTGTATGGAGCGTATCTGAACTGTATCTGAAAGTTGAATCTGAATGAGTATCAGAATGGCATCCGTGTCTGGAGCGTATCTGCACTGTATCTGATTGCATATTGTTAATGGTAGCTGTTAATCTTATCCTGAAAAGGGTAAAATGTTAGCTGAAACAAAAAGTTATGTTGCATGAAATGTATGATGCAATGTATTTGTTTTATCAATGTTTATGATATGTGAATGCAATGTTTGCGCATGTAAGCTGATTTGCTGTTTGATCGAGGAAAATAAATCCTTGAATGCTGCTGAGGATATGTTGAATTTTCATGTCTTGAAGTTGAAGTACTGACGAACTCTTGTTGAGAGAAGTAAATTCCGTTGTAAGGGCAATGCCATGTATTGCTTGTGAGGTTTGCTTGGGGAATCCTGAGAATTTGATGATTTCTACTGGGAATTAATAATTTGAAATTACTTATGGAATAGCCTAGAGACGTTTTCCTGTCCTTTCAAACTAATAGTAACTGTCTTTCTCATTTTGTTTATTTGTAAACAGTAATTATGTTCAAATGCATATGTTTATCAATGAATCATTGGACGTTTTTGCAAATAAAACATAATCGTAAAGACAAATAATTTTGGGGTACAACATATATATATTAAGCTGTCTTTTTTCTTGAAATATCTAAACCGTATCTCTTCCAATCAGTTACATTTTTCTTTTCCTCTATTTAAAGTTTTGGTCTCTCTATCTTAATCATTCATCTCTTATCCCTCATGGATACAAGAATCCTTTTTGATGAAGATTGTTTTCTTGCAATTATCTGTGAACGACACCTTAATCTATCAATTAAAAGGTTTCAAATAAGTTTCTATTGCAATTATGCGATTCAGGTGTATCATGTTTCAACTACACCTTGATCCTCTTCACTCCACATAACGTACCTCTCCACTCTACATTTACAATAACCTTTTATACGATATTCAATTAAAGATACAATTTTCAAGATAACAAAGCTCCTCAATAATTGGAAATTTGAGTAGGAAGTAGAAATGGGGCAAGAAATCAGGTAGGAAATAACACAATGATTAGAAACTCTAATAAGAACTTGATAGGCAAGGTTCTTCAGCCCTACACATCTATACTAGTGGCTTAAAAATGATAATAGAATATATATATCCGCTTCATTAGATGCTCATAGGACTTTGAGGATCATTAAGAGCTGCAATGGCTGTTTGGATCTGTAGCTGCAATAAATCTTTATCTTCTTCATTGGCCTGAAAAAGGATCAAAACAAAGTAACACAAAATGCATATGTTAGTGATATATACTCGGTATTCTCATTAACAAATTTTGTTTGTACATACCATGTTAATTTTACCACCACTTATCTAGTAAAGATCCATTAGCCCCAACGAAAATAATAGTAATAACACACTTAAATTATAGCTCTAGAGACTTTTAGGTTTTAACACCTTATTGCATTGTTTTACAACCTTATAGCATTACCTACTAGATGATTTGTTGAAGAGCTATTTCTTTAGTTAGAAAGACACTTATTTTAGGAGGAGTAATAAGAAAAAAAAACATTTTTTTAATCTATGAATAATTTGATAAATATCATCTAAAAACTCAATACACATAATAGATGAAGTTTGGGTTGATTTCAAACCAGTAAAAATGTTTGACTTAATGATATCGTCATAAAATTCAAAATAAATATTATAAACACTTTATTATTATTATTATTATTATTATTATTATTATTATTATTATTATTATTATTATTATTATTATTTAATATTCTTAAAATAAATAAATAAATATATCACTTTGTGGGACATGCAAAATATTTGTTATGTAATCATCAATTAATAATATTTTTCAGAGCTGTCATTAATTAATTAGCAATGTCTTACACCTAGTAATGAATTACATGTAAGAGTATTATATGACATAGTATATCTCTTATACAATTAATATTACTAAAAAATAATTAATAACGATGCAAGCGCGATGCACCTGAGAAATATAAAATTGGACAGAAAAATAAATTGAATAAAACAATATTGCTACTAGAATTAGAACAAAAACATGCGTGAAAAATAAAAAACTGCTCCACGCGGTGTCACACTGTGGAAGTCACGCCGAAATAAAAATAGCACAAGAATGAGAAACACGTTTTCAAATATTGGCCTTTTCCTTTGTCCCCTCTCATATAACAACCTTTATGAGATACTCACTCCCTCTGTCCTTATTCTACAAGGTTACATGTAAAATTCTCACTATTCATTTAATGGATGCTCCTCTTTGTAAAAAATGTTCTATTGGTATTGAAGCATGTAGACCCCTCATTCTAGCTGTCATGTTTTATTTTTTCTCAAAATTTTGAGTGAACAAGTGAAATTAAAGGATAGAAGAGAAAGTAACCTAACCTGAATGAAGACTGCCTTCAAAAGTGTGCCAGAAAAACAAGTGATATTGGCAGTGATGATTTTAAGCTTCAAAGATTCAAACACTTCACATAGTTTAACTATTGTGTCTGTCCTTTTGCTACATGTCATGCTCACAACTATTGTATTTTCTCCCATATACGTAACCCTAAGCTGCACTCCATCATATTAAAACTTTCATTAATATTTCTTTACAAAGCTAAACATAATTAACTATAATGATAATCATACCCCACTTCTAATTTCTTTTGCATCAATAATTCAAGAGTGGTTATGCTTTAAAATCTCTTTCTTCTTTAATATATATTAATTAATAATAAGGGGCAAGTAGTTAACCTCAAGAAGTTCAATGGGAGAGTTTGTTGAAGTGACAGAATCATACAATTGATCTGTTCTCTTCTTTTTGGATCTTAGCAACACAGGAAGTTCTTGATCAAAATCATAATTTTGATTAATACTATTTGGCATCCCAGATTCAAGTTCCATTATCTCAGCCTCAATATTCTTCTCTTGTTCATGCAAGTGCTGTATATACTCGATTGCATCCTTAATAATTGAAGCCTTATCCATCTAGAAGAATAATAAATTGTCACCACTCATCATTAAAGAGAAATATCTCGGATCGAATTATATGTGTCTTATAATAATGGACCCCCAAAATGAATTAATGATGTTTACCTTGCTAATATTAGGGACCACTGCTCTAAGTGCAAAGAGTCTTTCATTGAGTTTATTTCTTCTATTTCTTTCAGAAACTATATTCTTAGATGAAGCTGCACCATCTGGAGAGCTTGAATCATAGTAACTTGAAAATGCTTCATCCAATCCCCAGCTGCAACTACTTTAACCATAATTTTATTACTCAAATTCAAAATTATATAAAAAAAAACCGTTATTATGATATCCACAATTGAATTAAGAGAGTTAATTGATATAGTTACCTATCAAGCTCTTGGGTTTGGAGAAACATGTTGGTCTCCCAGTAGTGTTTGTACTCTTGATCAATATTCTCCATGCTTGTTTAACTTGAAATTGAGGAAAAGAGAATATGATGCTTTATTAATTGAAGGAAATTTAAAGTGGTTGGTTTATATATATACACACATAGGTCTGTGTGATGGAATTTAATCGCGTGTTGTTTTTGCACTTTGGATAAAAAATAAATGGTGTATAGCTTCTTTTCTACTATCTCCAATCTAATTATTATTTTGAGAAAAACCATAGAAATGTGTTGTAATTGAACAGGTGGTCAATGACACCGCGTCATGCGATATGACATCATGTTGAACTAATTTATTGGTAGCTTGTCACATACTCTAACTTCAATTCATATTCTAATTTCATGACTTAATTGAGCTTTATTTAAATGTTGATCTATTTCAACGGACATTATTTTTAACGTGTTGTTTTCAAATATCTAATCATAATCATAAAGATATTTTTCAACTTTATTACTTTGTAGTATTAAGTTCACACTCAATCTTGATAACACAACACCTTTAAAATTCTTGAATACAAAAATGATTTTGTAATTATAGTACTATATTTTGTATTCATCAATATGTACAAAGTCAAAGTCAGTAATCTCTTTATGACCGTCGTAGTAAACTGAAAAGCACACGCCTTATAACAACAGTTATTCTTATTAGCCGTTGTGATATTATATATGAATAAATGTCATTTTTTTACCAGAATCAACATTAAACCAATTTTGAATTGATATCAAAATTTATATTACAAGTACACAATTCCATTAAGTACATCAAAATTTGAATAGTTCGAGGTATGCAATCTTTCCAACTTCCAAGAGAAAAGAAAGCGTATAGAATTAGAGAAACAATGATGAGCAACTTTGATTTTTAAACTTCCAAGATAAGAAGATGAAGAATCAGAAGGAACAATATAAAAGCGTAAGAACCAAGACACAAAAACAATTTCATCCAAAGGAATCAACATGTGTTATCCTGCTCAAGCTACCAACAATGTTGAGAATCTAAATGTTGTTGCAGAGGGTGTTGTGGTGCAAAACCAACCTCAGAATCAAGATATTTCTGTAGAGTGTGTTGTGGTGCAAAATCATCATCAGATTCAAGATGTTGCTGTTGAGGGTGCTGTGTTTAGATTAATGAGAGCTCTCAGGGTGAGGAGAAGAAGAAGAAGAAGATTGAGAAGGCAAATGATGATTTTTTCCGATTCTGATGATGATGATGAGGCTGACTATGATTGGTCTAACCACTACAAAAAAGAAGCTTATTTGCCACGTGAAAATCACGTGGCAAACATCAAAATCACGTGGCAAAACAAAATTAGCGACGTGGTGACTTATGTCGCTGGGGAGTAAGTGGCAAGCAAGTAGCGACGTGATTCCCACGTCACAAAGTTGTGACGTGGTATTCACGTCGCTACATATTTGTTAATGGCAGCTTTATTAGCGACGTGAGAGTCATGTCACTAATTTGTGACATGATTCCCACGTCGCTACAGGGGACGTTTTTATTTTTTTAAAAATTGTTAATAATTATTTTTTATATTAATTCATTAATGTAATAAAATTTAAATAATAAAATTTATATAATAAAATTTAAATAATAAAATTTAAATAATAAAATTTATATATTAAAATTTATATAATAAATTTTATATAATAAAATTTATATATTAAAATTATTAGAATAATAGTATTTTATTTTATATTTCGAATAATAGAATTTTATAAAATAAATTCATATAATTAAATGTTATATAATTTAATAATTTAAAATGATAAAAATAAATATTTTACATAAATGCAAATATAAAAACGAAATAAAAAAAATGTTTTCACGGGGCATCTTCACCCGGAAAATTATCAAGATCAAAGTCATCAAGTCCGTCATCATCCGGCTGTGTATGATCAGAAACATTTTGATTTCGACCGCCTTGCATAAACTGTCTCATCTGCTCCTCCATATCAGATTGCCGCTTCCGCATGATCTCTAACTGACGCTCCTGCTCTTGCCTCATTATCGTCATTTGGGCCTCCATTTCGCGTCTCACTTCACTGGCCGGCAATTGTCGTACTGTTTCAAGTTGAACCTGAGTCAGATTGGCTTGACGTGACCCCCCTTCTCCATCTCTAAGTCTTTGAAACAGATTACGATCACCAACTCTCAAGCCGGCGGCCAAATTTCCTCCCGCAAAAAAGCAACCATTAGGCCCTTTTCCATTAACAACCTCATTCCAAATATAGAAATCAACATCCCCATTAAGCGGCTCCCCCTCTGCTGGCCTATATTGCGGATTGTGTTCCAGAAAACGTGCTAGCAATGTCTGATAATCATCCTACACATACATTAAATAATACAATTAAAAAAAAATTAAAACATTTATATATTAAATTATACTAAATTCAAATATATTAAAAATTTGTCACGTGATTTTCACAAATCAACTTATGAATTGCCACGTGAGTTTCCCGTGGCAATGTATCAGTTGCCACATGAAAATCAGTCACCTGGCAATTTATCAGTTGCCACATGATAATCACGCCACAACTTATAGATTGCCACGTGGAAATAACGTCACTATTTTTGTTATTAACTTAAAAAAAAAACATAAGTTTAATTACTTACAAAAGCTTTCTGGGTGCGGTCGTCGACAAAACCTCCCGATTTCTTTGTCCGAGTCCTCGTAATCAACTCAATGATCAATGGTGGTCTCCCCATCTCCTTAGTCTAAACAATAAAGTTAAAAATAATTAGTAAAAAATATTATGAATAAAAATATATATAACTTAAAAAATTAGTAATATTTACCATCCGCCGGACATGCTCTGCAGTGCTAATACTTCCAACAGTATTGACACATCCCCCCTTTTCGGATGCCCTCATCTTCTTAAAATTTTCGGATTTGGCCTTGAATTCTGGCGAACCCCAATATGTACGAAGTTCGCCAAAAACCTCTACGCCTATCCAGTTAGGACGAATACCATGCAGCTCATAATTCTCCCTAACCCGCCGCATTATATCAGAAAATCTTCTAGAAGTTCTGCTATAATAGATTTTTTCCATAATTTTCTCATTCAACGGATCCCACACACATTTTTCCTGCAATGTTGTATGACATTAAAATAAAAAGTTAAGCAATTATCATTAAAATGTGACTTAAATAACAATACTAAAAAAATATAATAAATTTACAACTTAAATAAATAACAATACCTTAAATTTTTTAAACCATTCTTCTTTATTTGTAACCTCGCCAAAGTTCTTCCAAGAGGATTTATACATCTGCTGGATTATATAATTAATAACCTTGGCAGCCGTCCGACTCGGCGCGAAACTAAACAACAAGATTTTGAATAAACAATATTAATTATAAATTTATACAAAATATTAAAATGAATATGTACTTAAATAAAAGTTTATATAAGAAACTTACTTGCTTCCTTCGGGCCAAATCCAAAACCTCCCGTCAATGACATGAATCTCACTCGGATCATCTGATCTCTCACGAATATCAGCTCCATCTATATCATCAGCTACGACATCTACATCACCGTCAGCCTGTGTAGGACGTGGGGTGCTGGATCCTGCAGCCTGTGTGGGATGAGGGGTGCGTGACCCTCCGGTCCGTCTAGGACGTGGGGCGCGGGATCCTGCAGCCTGTGCCGGACGTGGACTGCTAGGTCCTCCAATGTGTGTGGAGTGTGGGGTGCTGGACCCTCCCGCCTGCTGGAAGGATGAATACATCTGTGTGGGTCCCCCTGTCTGCTGGAATGATGAAGGCACGCCAGTCTGTATAAATGGAAAACTGGGTCCTCCCCCCGTCTGCTGGAATGATGAGGGGACACCAGTCTGCTGGAAAGATGAAGGCACCTGGGTCGGTGGGAAAGGGAAACTAGATCCTCCCGCATGCTGGAAGGAAGATGGCATCTGAGTCTGTGGGAAAGGAACACTAGATCCTCCCGCCTGCTGGAAGGATGACGGCATCTGGGTCGGTGGAAAGGGAAACTAGATCCTCCCGCATGCTGGAAGGAAGACGGCATCTGAGTTTGTGGGAAAAGGAAACCGGGGCCTCCAGGTGGCACAAAAGATGCAGGTACCCCAGACGGGAATGTATGGGAGGAGAGTAATGGGACAAAACCCTGAGTACTGGCCAGGGACATATATATGATCAACCTGACTCTGAGGGGGTGGGCACATGGCTGAGTGAGGAGACTCACATGTTACTACCCTCGGACGCTGAGACTTCTTACCGGTATCCTTATTCTTCGGTGCCATTTTACCTAGTTATATATATTTTCATAAACAAAGATAATAAAGTCATTGACATAAATATATGTTCATTGACAAATTCAATATATACATGTTCAATAGATATTCATTAATATTACATTAAGTGATTAATTAATCTAAATCTTCATGCTCGTTATCCATATCATGTTCATCATCCGATGTAATATTGTCCTCGGATTCAAACTCTTCATCATTGTCTTCATCCACATTATTATCAACCAACAATATAGACGCATCAACTTGAAGTCCCTCAACAGTTGTATCGGACAAAGTTGTAATGTCTTCAGCTGCAACCACATCATTAATCTGTTCAACGTCATCAACTTGGTAGGCAACATCTTCCACTAGATCTCCAGTTTCAATATGACCTAGCAGTTTTGTTTTTATTACAACACACCATCCTCTTTTACGTATTACAAATGAAGGATAAGGAACATAATAAACTTGTCTAACAATATGTGACATTATGAAAGGGTCATATTCTTTGTATCTCCGGTTCATTTGAATCTCGACTGAACCATATGACTTGTCTATCTTTGTGCCTCTAGTTGGATCATACCATTCACAATAAAACAAGACAACTTTATTTTCCGTGTCCAAGTAATTGTATACCAACTCGTAGATATGTTTAACAAATCCATAGAGCTTTTCCCACCTTGAGCTGGTAGGAATCTGCGGTGACAGTCAAACCATGAGCTTTTCCCACCTTTATCCAACGTAAATGCTTTGGTGTATCCCA